ACGTGCAATTCTTTAGCACTTAGTATGGATTTTGTAGCGTTAGAAGATAAAGGAGACGATGAAATGACCAACGAAACTCCTCGTTCGACCATTGTGGACTATGAAGAGGGGACGAGCTCGTCTTCGGGATCAGAGAACATGAGCACCATAGCTCACACGCCCATTGTTAGGAAGAAAAGAACTGGTCTTTGTTCGTGTGGAAGATCAAATAGAAAGATATCCAGTGATCAAGACATGACAACGAGCATAAGCATAAGTAGAAGGAAAGGCATCCCTCATAGATCTCCCTTATATTAACAAATTCTTCTTCTCTTTGGCTCGAAATTAGTTTTTTTTTTCGATCACATGAAAAATCTGATCTGTATGATTTTGAAAAAGTTAGAATTAGTCTCTGTAATGTAAAAGTTAAAAAAACGTTCATATGGGTTAATAAAACCGACTAATTATTAGGATTTTATCAAATCAAATGAGCTATTTATAAGCTAAAACTTAAAACCCGTTTGTCAAAACATCTCTACGAGTTAAATTTTAAAAAATATCGGGACTAAATTGAAATTTTGTTTAAATTATAGGGACCAAAACGCAAAATATTGAAACATTTTGCTCTCTTTATGGTATTGAAATTAGAGCTAACCTAAATTAATCAATTGGTCGGGGGTTTTGTCTTAATGGCATCACGTGGCTCCCAATTCCAAGTTATTGCTTGACCAATTTTTTTAATTATTTTAAATGTTATTTTAATCTTTAAACCCTTCAAATTTTAAAATATTAATTTTAGAGGCTTAAATTTTTTAAAAATTAACTACTTTTCTCCTTATTTTAATTTTAATTATATGTGCTACCAAATTAATATAATCTTCAATTCAGACAAAAATAAATATATTAATTATTTTTTTATCCAAATATAAAAATTTTAAAATTAAAATAGATATTTTAAAATTTCATAATATGATATCATGAAATTTTGCGTTTGTAGTCTTAAAATAAAATAACAAAAAATGTTTCGGGTAAAATAAAAATACAAATAAAAGAAATTATTAAAACTATACTCTAAACTAACCTAAAATCTACTAATAATTTTATAATTAAATAATATTTTAATCAATAAATTAGGATTAAACTGAAAATCATTGACTTTTAATATATTTATATTAGAGTGGAAAAAATAATAGGTGTACACGCTTACACATAAATGTCCCTCAAAGAAAATAAACAATAAATAAAACCCCAAGGTTTGACCGGTCAAATCCGTACATTTTTTAAAAATACTTCGACTTAATTAATGCATAAAAAATAAAAATAATTCACTTTTGTAAAAATTAATTTTTTAATTAAATTACTATTTTGACCTTCCAATTAAGTTTTGTTTCAATTTTATCCCATCTTGAATTTAATTTATTCAAAATTGTCTTAATATTTCATCTGTAGATAATAACTTTCAATTCTTTTAAATTTTTTCTTAGCTATCATATCTTTAAAATTATTCTTATTTAAATATGATATTGATTCATTTATACACTTAATTCAGGTGTCACAATTGATTTACCGACTACCCATATAAATAAAGCTAAAATAGTTCATCATATTTGTGAGATCTCACGTCAATAGGAGAGGAGAACGAATCATTTTTTTTTAAGGGTATGGAAACTTCTTTATAGTAGACGTGTTTTAAAACCGTGAAGTGATGGCAATACGGACCAAAACGAACCATATCTGTTAGCGGTAGACTTAAGTTGTTAAAATTGTTCAACATAGAATAAATCATATATGTACATAGTAAGATAATTTACTGATTTACTTGTTTGTTACCATGAATCAAGAAGAATCTATGATTTTATAGTTTGTTACAAATTTAATCTTTATTATACACATCTATAAATATACGAGGAATTTGGTTTTAATTTTTTTTATTTATTTAATTAATTTATGACAGTTGGATGTGGGAATTTGGGCCAAGCTATTAAGTGGTTGGGCTACTCTCCCATATTAATTAGAGAAGTCTTTGCCTTGATTTGGTCTTATGGGAGCCCACGTGGGTTAGTTTCCAATATTTACAATTTTTTATTTTATATCAATATAATATTTAATTTCAAAATTATGCATATAATCACTATTTTTATTTACGTTTTTCCAAATTATAAGCCAAAATTTAAAAATACAAAAAAAAATATATATATATATATTATTTCAAATAATAACTCGGGAGATTTAAATGTATAACTAAATAATTGTATTAAAAAATAACTAAATAACTATGAAATTAGACTTTAATTTGCTTGAATTTTTTTTAATTTTTAATAGTGTTTAATAAATTATTTAAAATAAAAATAATGATGAAAAAAAATTAATTTCAACTCAATATAATTAAAAATGTTGTTGAGACATCATTTCAATCTTGATTAACGTGAGATAAGGTTTGGGCTATTAAAGTGGGTTTCCTATGTTATATATATTAATTAGGAAATGTATTTTATTATTTATTTATTTAAGGTTAAATCTTAAAAATATCCCTAATTTTTTAATTTTAATAATACCCTTCAAAATTCAAAATTCTTTATTTTACAATTATACCTTTTAACTTTAAAAAATATTTATAATTTTCAAAAGTTTCTTTAACACTTTTATTTTTTTTTTTAACTTCAAAAAAAACCTTTTTTACAAAAAAAAAAAAAAAAAAAAAAAAA